ACTCCAGTGACTTCGAATGGGTTTGTCGTTGTTAAACAATGGTGTGCTATAGAAGCTGCCGGAGCATTGCCTGGGCTTATACTGAAGCGTCTGCACGTATAGCAGTCGTGTACCACTTTCTTCACCAGTGTTCGTGCCCAGCAAATCCAATATTGCTCTCTCAACTGTGACAAAGTGGCCCTCACGCCTCCATGTAAAGTTTCGCAGTGTGCTCGTACTGTCAGCAATGTGGAAAAGTGATGATCATGCGGGAAGATGACTGGGTGTTTTACCTCTTCAAATGCTTCAAGGTGTAACAGGTGCCCAATGACCCGAAGGATGCTGTTGTCATCCAAGAACGGGTTGAGGTCCTTTATTCGAGAGTCCTGTTTTGCACTTGTGTATTTCCGAATCAAGCTTATTTTTTCTCAGAAGGATTGTTGTTGTACACACTTCATTCAATTATTTTCAGCTTCAGCAATCTCTTCAGCTACTAGAAATCCGGTATGTGCTGCGATTTTCAGTTGGTAGCAATTAATGAATCTGAATACCCAGGCCGTGACCCTGAGTAGCCTTTCCATTTTGCTGTAACTGTTTATGTCCAAGACTGGAGCCGGCATTATCTCACTGGATATTGCAAAGTGAACGGCAATCATTTCAGAAGAAATCCTGTCATCGGTGCTGATAGCTTCTGACCAAATGTTGAGACCATCAGTCTTCTGATTTCTGATTCGCATAGCCAGTCTGGTGCATGTGGCTACATGCTACTGGATAATAATTTCTCCATAGAAAATCCACGTGTGAGCAGGCTGGCTGAATTCACATGACCAGGGCAATACCTCCAAATAGAAGGATCTGTTTTTTCCCTGTTCACTTTCACTGTGTTCAACACAAATTACTTCCATTTCACCATGTTGCCTTTTATCTATGAAAGTGTAATTGTGGAATCCGACCACATTGTAAAGTGGATCTCGAAGCCTGTGAGTGCACTTGACACATAGTGCAGTAGTCTTGCTCCAATCAAAACTCCTAGAAGCTCTAGCTGTGGTAGTGTCATTCTCTTGATAGGTGCCACATGGGCTTTTGCGAACAGAAATTCGGGCTTCGCTGGACAGCTCGGTACAACGTAAAGCGCTGCACCATATGCCGACGGGCTTGCATCGCAAAATACATGCACCTGTAGCTCTTGGGGTGATGTGGGTGATTTGGCTCCGCTGCCAAGATAACGCGGCATGGTAACATTCTGCAAAAGCGGTAGTTGATGCACCCATCATGCCACTCATCCTGAAGATCCTAAGGTAGCTGCTCGTCTCATGCTATTCCATGTGTCCGTAACTTCTGGAAGATCCTTACAGAAATAGTGAATGGCGCAACAAATCCCATGGGGTCGAATATTCTGGAAGCAACTTGAAGAACGAACCGCTTGGTATCACATTTTTCTTTCATAAATTCAAGAAAGCCCCCTGAAAAAAAGTGAAATTATCCATGTGTGGATTCCATGTAATTCCGAGTACTTTCACACTTGTCTTGTGGAGGATAGCCAGTTCCTTGCCTGTGGTCTGGTCGTCATGCTTTAATGCGATAATCAATCCATCCAAGTTAGTCGTCCATTTCCTCAGTGTCATTTCTGTTTCATGCATAATCTCCTTGGGTTCCCTGCAGATTTGAGGTGCTTCTTCATCTGACTTTGCTCCAGCCACTAGATCGTCCACGTAGAATCATTTCCTGAGAAGTCTTGCAGTTCTGGTTTTGCTTGAAGGCACGCTCCTTAGACGGTGGAGTATAGTTGCCGTCAGCAGGTAGGAACTGCACGTCGCTCCGAATGATACTCTTGTCATTCTCTACTCTTGAATATCCTCCTCTGGGAAACGCAGTGCTTCCTTTTCTTAAACCAGAAGAACCTAAAAGCATTTATGTCTTTCTCAGCGATTGAAATTTGAAGGAATTCCTTTTAAATGTCGGCAAGAAGAGCTATGCAGTGCGTTCTGAAGCGTAATAATACTTTCACGAGATCCTGATATAGGTTTTCACCTTTTTGCAGGCATTCATTCAATGGAAAGCACCCTTTTGCATGAGAGAAAGCGTCGAAAACGATTCAGACCTTCGTGATGAGTGTGTGCTCTCGAATGACTTCTCTATGCAGCATATCATATACCTTTGATGAATCTAGGGGTGGCCCATTGACAACTTCTGCATGTCCCGCTCATAGGTAGAGTAATACCTCGTTAACTCGAAGTTGTAAAAACCAAGCAAAATTTTTACATAAGCGGATTTTCAAGATAGCGAAGTTGCGCAAATCCCCGGAAAAAATCTAGCGCTTTTTAGCGAAATCACTACTACTTACCGGCTCTTCAGCAGCGATTTCTAATGTTTCTACTTGTGAAATTTTAAATGAGAAAAAAATATCCCACAAGAGACATTAACCAGCTGGATTTCGCAGCACAGCCATTTTATTTAGCAAAGCAAAACTCCCCAATGCTCGTCTGTTTTGCGGTCGTGCTTGGGCCTATGAAGGAATCCTCTACCTGTTTCACGCATCGCATCAGACGACCTTCTCGCCACTGCACTTCACCTTATTTCGAAGCAAACAGCAAATTTCTTGTTTCTGCAGATGTCGACACCTCTCGAGATGGTTCGTCATCGGCGTCGTTTCCGCCGCCTCCTACATTAGTGGCCGTATGAACAATTTTGGCATCCGTCATTTCTCCGGTCACCGGCACATCCTGCTCGCACAGTGCGTACTCAAGAAAAGTCACATCACTTCGAGCCTCGAACCCGCTTCCGCTGGCTGTAGAAGCTCTGCTGATATCCATCGAGCACCATATGCTTGTTCTTCAGCACTGTCGAAAGTGTAGACAAAGGAATTCCAAACTCCTGCGCAATGGTTGATTTCGTTCGGCCTCCTTTCTCCTCTTTCTTAATTAGGGCAATCTTCCTTTCTAGAGTTAGCGATTTTCACTGCTTTTGTGACACCATGCTTGCCGTGCTCATGCTAAGTCGCCACTCCTCAAAGTCAGCGTTAAATCGGTACCATGTCCGTTACGCAAATTAGACTGAACGGGAATCACACCTTAGAAAAACAACGAGCACTGCCAAACGAACAACAAAAACGACGCGACTACGCTACTATGCCAAGTGTGGGACAAAGCAAGTCCTGCTGCATGGGAGTCACATGACGTGCCACAGGATTGCTCGACAACGTTGATATGCCGCTAGATTCAAACTTCACGTTCGCGACAAATATTGACGTAGCGGCAGGAGTAGCTAAATAAAAATAAAAAGCAAAAATTTGATGAATTTCAGATGTAGCAGCATCGCGCGAATCTTGTGTAATGACTCGGTGACAGAATTTTCGTTCCACTCTCCACTGAAGATGTTCGAGATATCTGCAATACGATCCAGAAATACTTTGAGACAAAGGGAAAGAAATACATGGAACATAACGAAGAAGGTTCGGTGCCACGGAAATTTCGACTTAGCCAATTGTTACTATACGCAAGTTCGAGTTATCGAAGTATTACTGTACTCCCGTATGATGGTGTCCTACGTCTCCAAGAGTCCTTGCTTATTCGACAGTCGGTAGAAGAAGTTTCCTAAGTTTTGTCATAGCCACTTGCTTGTTGTCCGACAGCTCCACGTCTTCCTTCCAGGGCAGCGCCACCTCGTACCTTCCACTCCTAAGGCACACAGTCCGTTCAAATTGATTGAGTACTGGACTGAGCTCGCTCTCACTGTCAATAGCGGCTGTAGTCCTATGCTCTCAAGTTTCCAAAACGAACTATGGAATTTGTCCGCTCTCTTGTACACTGGTTTTCAATACGCAGAACGTAATCCATGAGTCTGTAAGATCCGATGCCATGCTGGTGTTGCCTTGAAACATCCACCTTAGCTTTGAGTTCATGGCAATAAGCGTCTCATCGCCTGCGCATCAAGTGACCACTCCTGTCCATCACTATCTACATTTGGGTGGAACCGATGAGAACTCTTAGCCTTTTTTTCTGGAAACGAATCCGTATAGTAGTTGATCAGTGATGTCTTTGCAGCTCTCTGTATTTCCGCAAAGAATGGTGAACTTGTTATACTTGCTTCAATATCTTGGCATATGTGCGCAATTCCATGGCTTTCAAGACAACTTCAGTGCCTGAAAACTGACTCTTCAAACGGAGTTGCACGACACGTCACTTTTGCGCTGCTCGACTTGACCATGCTTGCGAAGGTGTTGAGCGCAATGATGGAGAATCCTACACATGACAACTTCAGCTGCTTTTATAGCCTCTCTGTGATGAATGTACGCTGACTTCCTCCATGTATGACACCTCTGACATACCGACATGAACATCTGTTACATCCCAAGTCCGGAATGTCTGCAGAAGGACACTTGTCGATAAATTTTCGAGGGCATGCAGTTCTTCCCTAGAGATAAACATAGTCGTATTGTTGCTTAGCTTACTTGCCAGTGTTCTGGTATTTGTCCTGCCAGTTTCTTGTGTCTTCTAGCTTAATTACTGCGAATCACACTCACTTGTCGCATGAGACCTTTGACACGCTAGAGCACGTATCTTGCACCTGCAATCGCAAGCTCTCTGACCTTTTGTCGTGCATCGAAAGCACCTAATGTCTCCTGATAAATGTGCTTCTTTTTTGGTAGTGGGAGATTCAGCGAGGCCTCTTCCGTGGAATGTTGGCTCGATTTTCAAACACACAGCTCTCAAGTACTTTCTTGTGTTGTTACGGAAACTGAGGACGTGAGTTTCGAGTTACGAGACTGGCGTGATTTGTTCTGTGCATTCTCATTCTGACTGTCTTTTTCCACGATAGTTAGTGAACTCACTCTTCACTAAGCTCTCCACTTTGATAGACAAGAAACTTAATATGCATTCCAGCTCCGTGTTCAAAGGCTGCATTACTGCTCTAGCTCATCGCCCGATTGGTGCATGACCGATGATACTGTACAAGAGATTGTGTGATAAAGCCCGCACTATTATGTCGCACAGCATTCCTGAAGAGAACGTCTTGCTCACCCCAAGGGTCTCCAGTCCTCTTATGTTGATGATGACCTGGTCGTACAACTTGCGAAGAGCCGACGGGTCACTTGAACGGATTGAAGGCAACGTATGAAGCCTAGAGAAGTACTCCTGCTTGAGTCTCGTTCTGTCACCAAAGCGTTTTTTGAATAAGTCTATGGTGTCCTTGTAACAAGCTTCTGTGGTTGGCAGGCCCACAATAGCTAAAGTTGCATCGCCCTTCAGGAAGAACCTCAGGTAGTTGCACTTGTCGTTGCCGTGAGCCTTCCGTTCCGGTGAATCATCTGGTCAAATAGCTCCCAAATGTCGTTCCACTGGCCCAGGTCACCAGCGAATGGGGCGATGGTAAGCTTGGGAAGCTTGGCACCAGAGACTCCAGCTACTGATGAAGTCTGTAGCTCTGGTGCTGATGACGTGGCCAAACAATATGTTCGCACTTGCTAAGAAGCTCACTCATGACGCTGTTAGCATTGTCTTCGTATTCAAGGACAGTGTTATACTCTTCCTCAAACTCTTCTTCTGGTATGTGGCTCTCTAACTCCCTGTTTATTTGGTTCAGCTCATCGTTGTTCACCTTCAAACGTCCGTAAACAGCGTTCAGCTGGTCGATGGTGGCTGTCGCATTTCCTAGAAGAGCTCTTGCCTTGTTGATAATCCTGGCGTTGAGAGATCGTCTCGACGTCTGCTTTGGTTTCAGCCTCTCCACAGCGTTCACTTCACTTCCGACCTTCCGTAGTCTTCCGTGGTCCCTCATAGTAGTTCTCTAATTTTTAGCACCAAACTGTTTAAAATGGCATACAGTTCACTGGCAAGAAGCAAGGTTTAAACATCATGAACATTATTTATTTTCACCCGTCTTTGTCGATTCCTGGCTGCAAGTACCATGATCACGGACTTGCTCATGGAGGAAGCGCTCCTTTTTCCACGGTTTGACCTGGCCCTGCACTTGATTAAACAAAGGAAAGCATAGGAAAAGTTATTATTGTAAATGTGATGTAACTGTGAAGAAAAGTGAGCGATAACAAAGCTTGCCACGGGTAGGGACCGAGCCTGCGACCTTCGAATGATATTCCACCAACCTAAAACGGCAAGAATTCCACACACGTCCACTTTATGGGGTTTCTCTCCTCTCATTAAAATTAGATATATTACAAAGAACATACTTACTTTAGCACTACTGCCCGTTAGTTCTTAGTATTATTGTATCTAATATGCCCGTTAGTTCTTAGTATTATTGTATCTAATAAAGAAAAACGAGTTATTAAGATTTCCACTTTTCTCTTTCATTCACAGCAATGCCCTTGTTCTGGGAGGCTTGATACTTTCAAATAGTATGCGAAGGATTATCGGTCAGCTGCCAGCTCGCATTAAAATCACATTCTACGCGACACCAACAGGCAGGAAAAGGTACACTCACCGTAATGGCTACCGACGACACTGACTGACGCTCACACGTTTAAATGCACATATTGTAAGAGATGCAAGACAAGAAACAACAAAAACTAGTTTATTATAGGCAAACTTGTGCCTTGAAAATTGTGCAAAAATGGAAGAGCCCGCTAGAGCGTTCCAAAACATGAACTCTTCATCCGCCAACATGCCTTTTTCTTCCTCGCAGGTCCAACCCACACTGACTCGTGCCCGTCGTGCGGCCACAAGCACATGCGCGCACAACACTGTGGACGCTGATTCTTTCTAATATTAGATAGTGTAATTAGTCTCCGTAGCATTAGTTCCCCTTCAAAATACGCATCGTCCCGATGCGCTATGAAGGGAGGCAAACAAAAAGGGAGCTTTTTTTCATTGCCTCTCATAATAGGGCTTCATACAAACAATGTGTACGACTTCTGCACTGTTTTGCCGTTTTGAACGGATGTGCCCATCAGCGATGACTTCGTAGTTAGGTCACTAATTCATCGGAAAAGCTTATAGGGACCAAAGTACCGACAAAGGAGCTTTTTTGACAGGCTGAGGCATCGGATTGATGTCCATATCCACACTTGCTCACCTGGGTTGTATTGAACTTTTCTGCGGCACAGGTTGTAGTAGCTTGCGTCCTTGTTTTGCTGTAGACATATTCAGTGTCGTGCCAACTGGCATGCTTCTTCAGCCCTTTGCAGAAAGTCGTCAACTTCAAATGGCTCGTAATTATCGTTGTCTACTGGCAACATGGCATCGAGTGTCGTAGTGACAGTGCGACCATATACCAGATGAAATGGTGTGACGTGGATGGTCTCCTGCACGGCTGTATTTTAGGCGAAGGTTGCTTATGGCAAATTTCGTCCCATAATTTATGCTCAATGCCAACATACATCAACAGCATGTCAGCAATGGTGCGGTTCAGGTGTTCTGTCAACCCGTTGGTTTGTGGATGGTATGCAGTGGTCTTCCTATGACTGGTGTTAGTCATTGTCATTAAGGACTGCATCAAATCAGCCGTGATTGCGGCTCTTCGATTGGTAATAACGACGACTGGGGCTCCATGACGAAGAACAATGTTCTGAACGAAAAAAACTTTGCGACTTTCGTTGCCGTTCCTCGCTCAAGCCAGCCGGTTTCAGCATATCGTGTCAAATAGTCAGTGGCAACTATTATCCACCTTTTTCCTGATGCTGACATTGGAAACAATCCGAGGAAGTCCATTCCAACCTGTTGAAATGGAGTCACAGGAGGCTCTAGAGGCTGAAGAAGGCCGGTCGTCTTGAGGAGTGGTGTTTTGAGCCATTGACACTCGTGACATGTCTTGACGTAATGCTTCACGGATGCTAGCCACTTGGGTCAGCAATATTTCTAATGAAATTTGGCGAATGTTCGACACGTGCTCAAGTGACCCGCAGACGATTCATCATGACAATCTTCTAAGATTTCATGCCTCATGGCTGATGGTACAACGAGTAAGAACTTCTCCTTGTTGTATTCAAAATTCCTCTTGTGAAGTGCATTACACCGGAGGCAGAATGACGATAACCTTCTCTTAAATAACCGAGGAACTTGTTCGTCATGCCCTTCGAGATACTTATCAATGGAGCAGTTCCATGTCAGCCTGTTGATGCTCGGCGATTACTGAGGCTTTTATCACACAAAAGAGTGGTAAGTCCTTTTCTTATGAAAGAGTCTAGCGGACTGGTGAACGTGATAAGCAGTCAGCATCATCATGCTTTCTGCCAGACCTATATACGACCATAATGTCATATTCTTGGAGCCTCAGACGCCATCTTGCAAGTCGTCCCGATGGGTCTTTTATGCTCGCCAGCCAACAAAGTGAGTGGTGGTTGCTAACGGGACGGTACGGCCTGCCGTAGAGATATGGCCTGAACTTGCTGATCGCCCATATGGCTGCCAATCACTCTTTTTCGGTCGCAGAGTAGTTTCTTTCCGCTTTTGAGAGGGTGCGGCTAGCATATGCTATCACTTTCTCCTCTCTATTTTGCCATTGCACCAGAACTGCAATGAGGCCAAGATTGCTGGCATCTGTATGAACATTCGTATCTGCGGTTTCGTCGAAGTGAGCCAGGATAGATGTGGCTTGCAAACGTTTCTTTAAATCATTGAAAGCATCTCTTGTTCGGTGCGCCAAATAAATGGCACGTCCTCTTTCGTGAGTCTTGGAGGTTCAAAAATTTTCGCGAAAATTTTCACAAACCACTTGTAATAAGCACATAAACCCAAAAATCTGCGTACCTCCCTCTTGTCTTCCAGCTTGGGAAACAGCCCCACGGCCACAGTCTTGTCAGGGTCCAGGCCAACACCTTGAGCGCTGATTACATGACGAAAGAAACGAAGCTTCTTGAATCCAAAGTGGCATTTTACCGGTTTAATCGTCAAGCCAGCTGACTGGATAGCCTGAAGTACCGAACGTAGTTGCTCTACATGCTGTTCAAACATTGCATAAAACATCACAATATCGTCCAGGTAGACTAAGCACGACTGCCATTTTAGGCCTGAAAGGACACTGTCCATCATGCGCTGGAATGTTGCAAATGCACAACAGAGGCCGAATGGGAGTGCTTTAAACTCGTTAGACCATTGGGTTTACGAAATCAGTATTTTCACGGTCCCTTTCATTCCCTTCAATTGGCCAATAACCGCTTTTTAAATCCAATGAAGAGAAATACCTTGCGTTCCATAGCCGATCCAACGTATCATCAATACGCGGCAAAGAGTAGACATCCCGTTTGGTCACGCTGTTCAGCTTTCGGTAATCAATGCAGAATCTCAGCGTGTTGTCCTTTTTCCTCACAAGGACTACAGGAAAACACCCACGAACTATTGGATGGCTGTATGACATTGTCTTCCAGCATCTCTTTCACTTGGCTTTTTATGATCTCTCGCTCCTTTGGTGATACTCTTTTCATTTCATTTTATTGCCTTAGTGACCCCACTTGGGGATGTTACATAAAGGGTGGATATATATATATGTGACGCAGGAGACGTGATGGCTGTACGATGAACCATTTATTTTTCTTCGTCTTCCTCCTTCTCTACCATTCCACCACACCGTTCTCGTGTGGTTCGCCACATGCTTCCCCCTTCCCCGAGAGTGACGTAGATGCAGGGGCGGATGATATTGTCACGACGCAGACACAGCAGGAGTTCGATATAGAAGAGCTCACTTTAATTAAAAATGAAAGGGGCTCAGAAAGAGGACCGGGCAAGAGCTTCGTCTTCCTCTCTGGCTGTGCGAGCTCTCTTCTGCAGGTTGAATGCGGCATTTGCCTCCCTCCAGGAAGAGCATTGACCCGATGCTCGGCTACAGAATACGCGGCGTATCTATAGTTGACGTATTACGCAACTGGCTCACTGAAATATGGCTTCATTCGCACAACGTGTACGATTTCAGATTTTTGAGCTCGCGAGGAACTGTCAGGGATGACCTCATAATTCACGTCACTTAGGCGCCGTATAACATTGTAGGACCAAAGTACTTCTTCAGTAACTTTTCACAAAGGCCGCGTCGGCGAATAGGGCTCCAGACCCACACTTTCTCGCCAGGTTGATAAGTGACGTATCGGTGTCGCAGGTTCTAACGTTGTACGTCGTAACTCTGCTGTCGGGCGATTCGCACGCGTGCTAGCTGCCGTGCCTCTTCAGCTCGTTGGGTAAAGGCTTGAACATCCGTGTCTGTATCCTCGCAGTCGTGCAGCAGCATGGCATCAAGCATTGTCGTCACTTCACGGCCATAAAGAAGACTAAATGGCGTGCTCCGTGTAGTTTCCTGCTGCGCCGTATTATAGGCAAACGTCACATATGGTAGAACGTCGTCCCAATTTTTATGATCCACATCGATGTACATACTAAGCATATCAGCAATTGTCTTGTTGAGGCGTTCTGTTAAGCCGTTGGTTTGTGGGTGGTAGGAGGTAGTTTTTCGATGTGCTGTTCCACTCAACTCAAGCACTGACTTGAGGAGCACAGCCGTGAAAGCGGTACCTCTGTCTGTTATTATAATTCTAGGAGCGCCATGCCTCAGAACGATGTTTTCAATGAAAAATCGTGCCGCTTCTACTTGCGGTTCCACTTGATAAAGCCTTTGTTTCTGCGTAGCGAGTAAGATAGTCCGTAGCGACAATTACCCACTTATTTCCAGTATGCGAAGTCGGGAATGGTCCAAGGAGATCCATTCCGATTTGTGCAAAAGGCATGGTGGGCACTTGAACTGGTTGCAACAATCCGGCTGGTTTTAAAGGTGGCGATTTTCGTCGTTGACAATCGAGGCACGTGCGCACATAATGCTTTACAGTGCCTGGAAGCTTCGGCCAGTAGTACTTTTGTTGGATTCTGGCCAATGTGCGCGTGTATCCGAGGTGGCCGGAGGTTGGCTCATCGTGGCAAGCGCTCAGGATCTCATCGCGAATGGATGTCGGGACGACAAGTAAGTGGGCATTTCCGCTGGGGGCAAAGCTCTTCTTGTATAGGACACCACTGCGCAAGCAGAATGATGGCAA